GGGCGGGGGCGGGGGGACGCCGGCTGCTCCCTTATGGGGAGGGGGGCTTCGGTAGCCTGCGGGGCTGCAGGCCGCACCTCCCCCTCTTCCTCAAGCTTTGATTGTTTTTGCAGTCTTTCAGTTTTGAGGTGGCTGTTAATATTTTGGGACCTTAAGTCAAGGTTTTCAGAGTCTGTGAAAAAAAGATGTAGAAGCTTTGTCAGGTATTTAACGTTTCAGTTAAAATGGTAATATGTTGCTACAAAAGCAATAGGTCTTAGGTATCAGCTACCTAAGAACCTGGGAACCACGTGATACCTTTCAGCTCTATCTACAAGTGACTTTGCCCAGCAGAAAAAAAGAGAAAGTCATCATTCGATTATTTTTCTTAGCTGTATCTCTTCATATTTTACACAGAGGCCAGGTGGTTGTTATTTTGCCAAGAAGGGTTGTGTTTAAGAAGCGTTACTTCATTGCTGGGATACAGCTAGCTATGCCCTCCTGTGGCTCTTTGTATAACTCTGCTGTGTACATGTTTCCTAGCAACAGTGCGTTTAAGAGGCTCATGGAAACTATATCCTTAAAGATTTATTTCCTGCTAAGAGAAAAGTACGTTGCTTGAAAAAACAGCCAAACAAAAAAAAAAATCCTTGGGAGCAGTTACAAAATCAGAGCTTCACTGGTGGTGAGAGACTGGGGCAAATGAGGTGCCTTCGGGGTGCGAGGTTGTTAGCTGGGTTTGTGTAAGGGTTGCCATAGCAGCTGAGCAGGCCACGTGCACCCAGCAAGGCATCCCATCTGGGGGTGAGCAAGTGCCTCACCTAGCACTCTGCGCCCAAAGCTTTGCTTTGGACCTGCAGCGCTCTTAACAAGAGGGACCTTAACCTCTCCCTCAAAGGGTGAGTTCCCACCTCCAGAAATTTGAGTGGTCAGAGAAAAATGATAGTTGTGGAATTAAAGGTTTGTTAATGGGCAAACTTGAATGGGTTTTTATTATTCTGTAGATTGCCAGCTAAAGCTGTTTGGAAAATGATACTGGTTTGCTAGATCTTCTCCTTTTAAATTACCAAAAGTAGATAGAGGAAATGTTTTTTTTTTCCTCACTAATATATCATATGGGATGCTATAATGGGCATAAAAATACTGAAGATGTGGTTGGTCCTTGCAGTGTTACATTGTCCAGTTGTTTGTTTTCTGTACTGTTAATTTAGGTTATTTTATGTGGTGCTGGAGATGGAGGAGCCAGTGGGAGGTGAAACTGAACTAGAGGGAAGAGTTAAGCCTAGTTCTTCTCCTTATCACTTTGCACAGCGGGAATCAGAAGAAGAACCGAAAGAAACACAGCTTTCTTCCAAACCTGACATTGGTCTCTGTCCACCTCTCATTGCTATAAAAAAAGGTAAGGGAGGAAATATTGGCAAACACTTCATGTACGCTTTATAGGGAAATAACTTTTTCAAGGATAAAATGAGAAACTGATTATTAAGTACAATGTTTGAATTTATAACAGATGCCCATAAATGCTAGGCATATATATTTTGCATAGAGCCATTTTTCTGGAACTAAATTGAATAGTACTCTAAGAAAAGAATAATGGGGATTTCCTTAGCAAATAACTAGCTTATTCCTGAGCTTGTTGCATTTGTCGTAAAAGCTAGAACAATGTTAATGGGTTAGCATTCAAATAAAACTGCTGATTGTGTGGCATTTGGTATGGCATCTCTCTTTTGGGATATATTAACAGTGACAGTAGTTTTCAATAGCATACTCGGAGGAGACTTCATTTCAAAACAGACACAATCTACAAGAAAATTTATAAGGATGTTATTAGAATATTAATTTTAGTCACAATCTTATTATTTATGTTTTAGAATAGATTAAGCAATAGTTCCAATTAGCTCCAATTAAGCAATTAGTGAGTCACTAATTATCACTATTGCATGCTCTGTTGAAGATATTACTCGCTTCAAGGGATAGGACCTAAATATCATCATCTGAGAAATAAATTGGTTGCTTTTCTTGGAAAAGACCAAGCTGTAGTAATTAAAAATAGTATTCTTGGTGCCTTTCAATTAAATATTTTTAAAGACAACAAATACAATATTTCTGTTAAGGACAGATAAATCAATATTTAGGAATGCTTTGGTAATTAAAAGTAAATTAAAGGAGAGAGCTGGACAAAAAATGAATAAGGTGGCAGGCTGCAGAAAAGTGCTTGTACTAAGTATCAGGACAACATTAATAGTTTTATATGTTACTAAAACCACTTTAAAATATACAAATCATAATTTCTAGAAAAAAATAAAGGCATACAATAAATTGTTGATTAAATAAATCAAAGGGCTTCAAAAGCTCTTAAGGAGATTTAAGTGATCAGCAATGGATAGTTACACACGCTAATGATAAGTGTACTGTTTTCATGGCAAATATTAGCAGTCCCTATAAATCCTGGTTATCAGTCTTCTGCATCTGGCAGACTTGCTACTTGCAGACGCTTTTTAACAACTTGAGCGCATGGAATATCTGAAGAATAAAGAAGCAACAGCTGAGGAATAACTGAGAGACAATAGCAAGAATGGAAAGTGGCAATATTTCAAAGAGCCTGTGATTTTTTTCCAGAACTGACTTCTGCAAGCTAGTCCTTTAAATTGCTTTTTCTTACCTCTGCTATTATCAGTGGGGATTCCTTGCAAATTAAACTTGAGATAAAAACCATCATGAGACATTTTTTCTTATAGAGGCTTCTAAGAGTTTCTGCTGAGGCATAGTTTTTCTAGCTGTCCTTTCATGTCTAACTTTTCCTAGCCTGAGAAAAAAGGTTAGCCAGCAGATGTTAAGACAGAATGTGGTAACTTTTCCAACATCATTGCAGGTCTTGTAAATGCATTTATTGCACATATACCTGAATAAGAATAATTATAACTGGTCACTTCTTTGTCCTAGACGCGGAAAGTAAGCACCGTAGGCGTAGAGGTGTCTTGAAGACAAGGAGCACTGAGCTAGGATCTGCTGTCACAGGATCACCTCTGACTGGTGCTCTTCTGGCAAGTGTTTTCATTCCAAAATGGTGGTTACTCAACTGCTTCAGTCTGTTAAATTTTCTTCTTTACAGGTTATTCTTGAAGTCTTCTTTGGCTGGCAGAACTTGACCCAGGACTGAAGGGTGCTGAGTTCAATTAATATCTTGTTAATTTCAAGGAACAAGAGCAATGAACTACTCAAAAGTGCATACGATCTTAGGCCCTTTACTTCTTGTGCTTACAATGTTATTTTGAGGGTCATCTACTGGTTAATCCCCTTTCTTTGCCAAGGTGAAAATGAATATTGGTTAAGAATATTTGAATAAGGTTATGTCTGCATCATCACATGGGAATATCTCACCTCATTTTGAATTAGTTAGCTTAATTTGTGAAATTGGTTTTGCCCAATCAATCTAGAGCTCTGAACAGGCCACTTTCACTAACGTAATTCAGATGGTGAAAATACATTCTCTTTCTGAATCTATTCATGATCTATGCACAGATGTTAGTTTAGTTTATGCCGTATCGATCTCACAATTTTCCTGCAAAATACAATTTTTAAATTACATACATAATTCGCTAGTGAGGTGAGATGATATCTGACGTCTGATATGTATAGGCTGTGAAAACAGTAAAGTATATTTAAAAAAATAGAAGCTTTTCTGTAACACTATCAGAATATTACACTTTTTTTTTTTAAATCTCAGACACTATTTAGGTTATCTTAAATTATGTTTGGTCATCTAATACTGTCACTGTGACAAAGTGTCAGTGATAGTGAGACAGTACAGAGGAAACAACAGGCATTTGACATCTAGTATCTTTACTAAGACAGAAGAAAAAAATTGCTATCAAAGATACAGTAAAAGCCATATTTTTATGCTTACAGCCATTAGGTCTCTAAAAGGCATTATAATATATTTTATGAATACCTGTTATCTATAATAATTATGTATTCATTAATATGGGAGTTTTTTGGCTTTTGTTGAATGACATCTGGATGGAAGGACAGTGAAACTAAACACTGCATCACGGAAGGCACATGCAAAACGAGTTTCTGTCAACTCTGGCTTGCATGCTAACTGGGACCTGTGTGAGAGGTTGAGACCTGCGTGAGAGAATAAAGAAGTATAAATCAAAAAAGATGTGGCTTTTAGAGATGTGAGAATGGTACTGATAAATAGCTACAGTTATTAAGGCATGCATGTGTATGATGAGATAGAATCACAGAATGGCCAAGGTTGGAAGGGACCTCTGGAGGTCATCTAGTCCAACCCCCCTGCTCAAGCAGGGTCCTCTAGAGCACACTGCACAGGATCGCATCCAGGCAGGTTTTGAGTATCTCCAGGGAAGGAGACTCCACAACCTCTCTGGGCAACCTCTTCCAGGGCTCCGTCACCCTCCCAGGAAAGAAGTTTTTCCTCATGTTCAGACGGAACTGCCTGTGGTTAAGTTTCTGCCCATTGCCTCTTGTCCTGTTGCTGGGCACCACGGAGAAGAGACTGGCCCCATCCTCTTGACACCCCCCCTTCAGATACTTATACATGTTGATGAGATCCCCCCTCTCAGTCTTCTCTTCTCCAGGCTAAAGAGGCCCAGCTCTCTCAGCCTTTCCTCAGAGGAGACATGCTCCAGTCCCCTCATCATCTTCAGAGCCCTCCGCTGGACTCTCTCCAGGAGCTCCATGTCTCTCTTGAACTGGGGAGCCCAGAACTGGACACAGCACTCCAGATGTGGCCCCCCCAGGGCTGAGGAGAGGGGCAGGATCACCTCCCTCCACCTGCTGGCAACACTCTGCCTCATGTACCCCAGCATACCATTGGCCCTCCTGGCCACAAGGGCACACTGCTGCCTCATGCTTAACTTGTTGTCCACCAGCACTCCCAGGTCTTCCTGGAGGAGCTGTTGCATCACCTTTGCAGGGCTGGAGGGGAGGCTGACAGGCCTGTAGTTTCCTGGCTCCTCCTTCTCACCCTTTTGGAAGACTGGAGTGACACTGGCTTTCTTCCAGTCCTCAGGCACCTCTCCTGATCTCCAGGACCTTTCCAAGATGGAGAGTGGCCTAGCCACAACATCCGCCAGCTCCTTCAGCACAAAGTTTGTACAAATGACCTCTAACCCAATCCTCCTCGACCAAGGGAGAGTCTTCCTTTCTCCAGACTTCCTCTCTTGTCCCCAGGGTCTGGAATTCCTGAGGACTGGCCTTAGCAGTGAAGACTAAAGCAAAGGCAGCATTCAATAACTCTGCCTTCTCTGTATCGTTCGTCACCAGGGCACCCACCCCATTCAGCAGCAGACCCACGTTTTCCCTAGTCTTCCTTTTGCTACTGATGTATTTGAAGAGCCCCTTCTTGTTGTCCTTGACATCCCTTGCCAGATTTAATTCCAAATGGGCCTTAGCCTTCCTCATCGCATCCCTGAACACTCTGACAACGTCCCTGTATTCCTCCCAAGTGGCCTGTCCCCTTTTCCACCTTCTGTACTCTTCCTTCTTCTGTTGGAGTTTTGCCAGGAGTTCCTTGCTCAGCCATGCATATGGACTTTTAGAAATTTGGAAGCTGGATTCCCAAAGCTGAGATTTAGTTAGAGCCATTATAGAGGTAAATTTGTATTGTGAACTTGGGCCTAGATTGACATCTAATCCTGAGGCCCTGCTCTGAAATTACTGTTGTACTGGCTTTATACTGAGAAGTAATTTTGGCCTTACAAGTTAGTTTTTCAATTATGTTTTCCTCTGCATTCCTTAGATGTAATTTTTTGTTCCCCATTTAAGTAATTTATGAAACCAGCTTAAAGATCAACTACATAAAATGCAATCCTTAAATGTAATATAAAATAGCTATGGCAAAAATATCTCTCATCTAACAAACTTTTATCTTCTAGCCAACCAGCAAGAAAAGCATTGTGCTTTCCAGTGAAGCTAGGAAAGAACTAGCCAAGCAAGTCAAAGTCCTCAAAGAGGAGAGAAGAACTCAGTTAGATGAAAGATACAAGTATTTGATATCAAGATTAGCGGATGGGATAGGCTTAAATGAGCAGCAAGTGGAGGAGGCCATAATTTCTGATGACAAGGTAATCTGTAATTACTATTTATTAAATATCTTTCTGAAATTCTGAGTCTTTTGAAACTACTTTACAATAAACTACCATTGTAATTTTGTTTTTAGTTTCAACTTATAGAAGAATTCTTTGCCCCTAGCGGCCTTAAAAAATTACTCTTCTTTTACCAAGATGTATTGCAGGTATGTTTCTGTTATTGCATATACATTACATACATTACATAAATACAAATGCAGTTATTTTGTCTTCTGCAAAAACAAAGTTGCATATCTCCTTTAATTACATGACTATTGCAAAATTCAGAGAATCTTAATTGAGTTTTTTTACTGTGATTAAAGATATAGGTATAAAACTAAAGTAATTTGCATTGTTAGCAGGATGTACATTGCAGATTTCCCTGTGAGTCCAGTTCCCAATTCCATTATGACTTTGCAGACCAAGTACATTATTCTTTCTGTGAGATCCAATCATCTAGATGGTTTTCATGGAAGAAGTTGCTCTAGGAAATATTTCAGATTTAAGTTTCTTATATTTTTCTGATTTTTTTTTTCCTGCATTGTTTTTCTGAAAGAACAGAAATATGAAACTGCTTATGGGGAACTGTGGGAGTCATACAAAGCTTGTTCTCCAGATAAAGCTAAACTCACGATTCCTACCTGGAGATTACTAGCTGATTTGAATTCAAATAGGCTGAGGTATCTGTACAATAATAGTTATTATTTTATTAACCTCTTATTCATAATCTTAATTGCTAGCAAAAGTCGAATGCTTCACTGGGATCAGATGGGTCAACCAGCAGTTTCCCTCAGAAGTTGTTATTCATTACCATGGGTTCTACTGAGGTATGATTGAAAAATTCATTAGATGACACTTGGAAATTAAAATATTGAAAAAACCTAACAGTTTTGCAGAGTTAAAGTAGCTTTTTATAATTCTCAGATGGATATTTAAGTATTTAGTCCATGTTCTCATAATGCTAGCGTTTCTAACGGGTTTTTTCCATTTCTTGAGCTGAGGGTAGAATTCTCCAGTAAATGTGATCTGGAAAGAAGTGGTGATTAATAGATTTCTCTGTCTGGGGGAAGAGTAAGTGAAATAAACCATTGTTAACAATATTGCCTGTCCTGATGCTTTTGTTAACATTAGATATTCAAATGTTTTCCAGTGCTTGTGCATTTCTAGTTTAAAAGTGGAGCTCTGCAGTATTTCCTTTCATAGTGCATATTACTCCAAAATGCTTTTAATAATTCCTCTATTTTAGTTCTTAAACTAGCCTTCTTATTGTATTATTCAGCAGTGTATTCAGTGCAGTCATGAAGATTTCCTATTCCTTTTCTTTATGTCTTTTTTTAGGGGCAATTGTGCATACTATATAGTATTTTCTTTTGAATAAGGCACGGAGATATCTTAATTTCTTTTTTTCAAAAAATATATTAACACATTTATATGTGTTTATATGCTTATTTATATTTACGTGCTTATATTAACACATTTTTATGTTTTAAAAAAGACATAGCTGAAGAATTCTTTCTTATTTTCAGAGAAGAAATGAGGTTTGTTCCACTGTCTCAAGACTTCCTTCCCCTAGGAAAGTTTGCTCTTTTGCACAGATGAACTTTGCCTCGGAATAGAGGTTTCTATTTTGTTAGAGGAGTATGATGCTAGAGTGTGACTGCTTGAAAAATTAATATGAGCCTGGCTGACAATCTTTTCTGTGAGCATGCTGCAGAGTATAGTAAGCGAGAGATCCCAGACCTTGAACTTTTCTTGATTTTTTTTTTTTTTAAATGGGAAACTGGTTTACAAAATCAAAAACAGGCTTGATGCACCTTTAATAGTGCCATTACTGAGGAGATATGCTACAGCATTCTGTGTTGGAGCTTTTTAAAAAGTTAAAGTGAGTGCATGAAGCTTTTATTTGCAATGAACTGCTGCAGGTCAGACAGTACTTGGCAAAATAATACAAAACATATACTGTTATTTCTTAGGGCATAAGGGAATTGTCTGAAGAACTGTAAAGTGTGGTAACATTACTGTCCAGTATTGCCATTACTTAGCATGAGTGGAAGAATCCAGGAGTAGTTGTAAAATATGGATGAAACTTTCCATTTGTAAAGCATACTTTCAACAATGGGGTCTATGTCAGGATTGCAAACTGAAAGCCTAAAAATTTTCCATCTGTTGACTGTGGCAATGATAAAGCAAGAGAAATGAAATGCAAAAAGTTGAAAATGAAAAACTGCTTATTTCTTTTTGATTTCTAACCAGCTTGAACAAAATTAGATTTTAAATGTCAGTGGTATCAAGTTTCCATTTGAGCCTTCTGAAAAAAAAGAACATTTTTTCAAAATTGTTTTTTCTTCAGAAAATCAATTTATTTTCTGTTGGAAAATGAGATTTTATACTACTCTACCTGCATGTGCCCACAGTACCTAGCACAATGCTGTCATGTGAAATTAATTAAATAAAATACATAATAAAGAACACAAAGTACAGATTAAATTATACAATTGAGTTGTATGCAGTGCTGTTAACTGTACTATCTGTTGCTTTGTACAATTTGAAAATTGGATCGGTTGGAATTGGTTTTGAGTTATAAATGGATTTAATAGCTTAAAAATAAGTATTGTTTGCAATGCTGATTTGAAAGTTTTCCATTGCTTCAATTTCCATTGCTTCAATTGATCAAAAAGATGAAAATACGCATTAAGCACTTGAAGCATTTGGATTAGAAGTTTTGAGTAATCTTTTAGTTCCTTTTTTTAAAAAAAAAAAAAGGAAATCATTCTAAAATGATCCCTTCTGGTCTAAATATCTGTGAAAAGTGGTTTAAATGCTTGAAAGCTGAATATATCTTCAGTTTTCTTCATTGAATTAATGTCAATAGATTCAGAAAGAGGTTAGACAAGTTCACGGATGACAGGTCCATAAATGGATACTAAAATGGCTAAACAGGGAGGTATCATGTAACAACTCTCATACAACTACTATAAGTGATGGAGGAATACCTGAGGAATGGAGCATGGAAAGTGGCCAAGGTCGCAAGCTCTCCCTAAATTGCAACTTCTTTTGCAGTTGTCGGAGTTGGGGTGCTGGGCTGGATGGACCGTTGGTCTGTCCCAGAAAGGCATTTCTGATGTTCTTATGTCAGCTGGATATGAGTGTTTGATTTAGGGAGACAAATATTTGAATATTGTACAAACAACTTGCTACTTTCTGAGTAATTAATTTTTTCAGTTTCTTCTTCAGTACTTTAGCAAATCATTATGTAAATTACTTTTGCTGTACATGTGCATTCTTTTTAACTGTAGTTATTTTGTCCTTTTTACAGAGCTTGACAGGAACTTGTGCGTTCTTCCTAAAGACATCAGAGAAAGTGATAACTACATCAAATGTCTCCCAGGTCAGGCAAAAATCATGTAGTGTTTACAGTATTCTTAATATTCACTTATTCACACAACTAGTTCCACTGGAGTCAAAAAAAAGTGGGGAGTGTTTTCATGAAAATGTCTGGTTGTGTGTTTGATAAAAGTTCTTTCCTATATCAATAAATATTTATGGTAAAGTAATGCTCCAATAATTATGAGTAGTTATCTGCATTATTACTAAAACAAAACTTAAACTAATAAAAATCCATTATTAATTCCTTAGGGAAAAAATGTAAATTTTAATGGAAGTAGCGAATAAAGACCTAAACCAGGAGTTTTCTTTTAGTGAATGAAACCAAATTATAGAAATATAACGTTTATATAACTATACCTTTTAAACATTTTAAAATAAAGAACATCCTTGAAACTAAAGATTTTTCTCACCCCAATAACCTTAGTTGTGTCTAAGAAAAATACCATAACAGCCTTTTCTGTCTTTAAGGGATATGTTCTTGGGAAATACTTGCAATAGTTTTTTTTACAAAGAGTATCCAGATGTTAACATCTAACAATAGACATTAAAAAAAAATATAATGAACCAGAAATCGTATTCTCCAAAATATTGGTGTACTCTTTATGCTATACATATTTTCTCCTTATCCATCACTAAAGGTTAATGCATTCCACTTAAGAAGGCCAAAGTTGCAGCTATGTCTCTTCTCCACCTACTGTTGTGGAAGTTACCGCTTCAGTTTCTGTCAGGCGTTTACTTTATAACAACGTTTTTACAATTACCTGATGCAGGAGTGCAAAAGTAATTTGTAGGTTTCTTCTTGCTTCCTATCAGTCCCACTGCATGGCTTCAATTGGATATCTGTCCAAGAGGTTGGTCAGTGCCTCCAGTTAACTGCCTTCGTGCCTTCTGTCTGTGGTTCTCCTTCCCTCCCTCTCAGCCCTCCATTTGGCAGGGCTGTCATTTAAATGACATCAAACTTCATTCCTGAGGCAATATATATTTACAGATGCTGTAGAAGGTAAAACAAGTCCTGCTGTTCAGTCAGCCAGTCCTGACACTGATGAGGTGTGGAACTCTGGGTCACACTGGTTTGGCATATTTTGTTTTGTCTGGAACAGCCGTGTAGCAGCAGTTGGAAAAAGACTCTGATCCTTCCCCTCACCCCCAACAAAGGCAAACATCTCTGTCATATGGGAGCAACTGATGCTAATAAGCATCTGAAGGGGGAAAATAGGAGTCAGTTCCTTTGGTCTTTCCCTTTTTGTCCTTTCCCTCCCGTATTTTGCTTCCCTACCTTTTGCAGAAGGAAGTCATTTGGGGGGTTTTTCCTTGTAACAACCATGTGAGTGTTGCCTCCTTGGGGAACACATTCAGATGTGCAAAGCAACTTACCCTTGCTTGTAAGCACTTCTTCAAGCATTGTGTAATGTGAACTGTATATCTCTGGACTGTCAGTCCAGGACATCTTGCTCTGGCATGAAAAGGTTCCCAAACTTCAGGCAATATAGATTAAAAATGGTGCCTTGATTGTCATCCGTAATTCTTCTGTCTTTCAAGAAAGTGCTTTCTATCCTCTTGTACTCTAGGGGGATTATAATATTCTGATACTGTTAGTAAACAGTATTACACCCATGCATAACAATTGTCTTAAATGCTCTTCTTTCCACATCCAAGGGGGGAGTTAACTAGAAAACCATTGATGAAATTAATAATCAAGATAGCCAAGAATTTCAATGTCTACCAAAATTCATGTGTAGTTGCCATTCTTAAAATACTGTGGAATTGCTATCTTTGCACAGGAAAAAGTTTGGAGTGGAAGCTTCCAAGAGTAGAACTCAGTACATTTTCTTCCAGATCAGTGAAGTTCTCATTATGATGAAGGAAGAATAAGTGTATGTTTATGCAGTTGACAAGTTCTGAATGAGACTCCCTCTTTGCTTGTTACACCGAGAGCCTTAATGGCTAGCCAGTGTGGGTCATAGAAAACACATGTCCCATATTCTGAACCTATACATTCATCTGAACCTATACCTGTACAACCTATACAAAATGCCAGTAACAGAACAGCCAACCTATTCATAAGTGAATAGCAGTGGGAAAGGATTCAGTCCCTCAGTTTCTTTTTCCAGTTTATGCTTGCAATTCTGCAGTAAAATTCCACCTACCAGTATTATCTTTCCCAACCACCCCTTTCTGCAATTCACTGCTTGTTGCTTCACATGAACAGTGAACTGGAGGGAACTGTGCAGCCCTTTTTTAGACACTTATGATAGATGGAAACTGTTTGTGTAAAACAGAAGTGTAAACATGTAATTGTTTTAAGATTAGCATGTCAAGCGGTTAATCTTAATTGGTTGCTGGAATAAAGCTACAATATAGAACAGACTTTTCTGATGGCTCAAACAGAAAGGCAAGTCTTATCTCACAGTTTTCAGTCCAGCACTAGTCCAGGTCCAAATTCAGTAGATGAGAGAAATAACTGGTAAGATGTTTCTCCCCAAGGAACACGGGTAGTTATGGACTGTGTATTCTTGTCTTCCACGTGTCTGAATTTCCCTTATAATTAATAATGTTGCACAAGTTTACATGTACTCTGCTAACATTTGTTTCTTCCCCAAGGAAGTGAATTTTGGCATATTTGATTGTACTGATGGAAATATCCTTCAGGGCCTGGAATTTTTCTTGTCTCAAGTCATGGTACCAGCACTTAACTCCCAACAGGTAATTAATTAAGTAGTCTTTTTTCACAATAACATTTGAATTAAGGCAAGAGGCTGCTGCAGTCCTCTTTGTGAATCAGATGAACATAAAACAGAGGATAAAAAAGACACAAGTCTAATATAGGCGTTTAAAAGTCATGCAATTTGTATTTAAGTGTTTGAAATTCATATGTTTATTATTGATTTTCAAGAAATAGCACCAATCATAGTGCTCATGGTAAAGCAAGAAAGCACCATAGCAGCCATACTAAGGGAGAGCTGTCGTTAATTTAACTGAAACTAGATTAAGCCTGGATTGAAAGAAGTTCCAAGTCTTTAGGCTGTACAAAAGCTCAGTCTATGATTCAGTTTTTCACAGTGTACGATAGGTGTGAACAGCCTTTATGGCACTTGCAAGGCATCACAGTTGGTTCTATTGACACTAGAAATATATGCCCAGAGTTGGGAAATTTAATGAGGCTCAATGTTTATCGAGAATGATGGTGTCATGCACTGTTATGATACGCTACCATCTTCTCTATCTCAGGAGCAGGAAAGCAGATCAGAATCTGTTCCCTCTGTTCAGAGGGAGCCAAGTCAGACTGAAAAGAAAGGACAACAATTCGGTGTCAGGGCAATGCGAGAGAGCAGGGGAACGATTTTACTTCTTGAGAGCCACATGCTTATTTGTCTCTTCTCATCTAAAAGAATAAATACGTCAGTTCCATCTTACAAGTACTTGTGCTATAGTACTGAAGAGTATGTTTTCAGGGTTGTGCTGATAAATCTGTATATCCTTCCATGAGTGAGATGTTTCCAATGCAAGAATAATATACATTTTGTTTAAAAAAAAATAGTGTGACCCTCCCTTAACATATTTTTGTGCATAAATCATAAAATAATCAGCACTGGGGAGCTATGAAAGAAGGCTTGAAGAACAGACAGATACAAGACTTTCTCAGTTCTGTGGATAAATTTGTGAGTACTCTGTTATCATCAAGACAGAATTTAGAAGACAAAATTCAGCTCGCAAAAGTGGATATTGACGTTTATGTCAGCAATTTACAAAACCCATCTGACTGTATAACTGCAGGTGAGTAATTGCTACAGCAAAGCAAACACAGATGATGCTGCTTATAGGTAAATGAATATTATGTCGTTAGAAAAGATTTGCATGGAAGAATTTATTCATCTTCCTTGAGCGATATATGTTTTTCTCCTTATACTTGGAAGGAGAGTATAATGTTAGGTTAATGACTGTGTAATCATAAAATCATCAATCATTTGCACATCATTCAATTCATAAATCTTAAAGTCTTATGTAGTTCCTTACCATATGCTGTATGCATCAGCCTGTGTTCCTCCTAGTTTGCTGGGATCACCCACTAGCAGATACACTCTTTGATTTCCCTGATACTGGTGCAGTTTTATGCAAGCTTAAGTCTGGTTTTGAGGGCTGTGAGTCCAAAGAACGTAAGTACAAGAGTGGGCATTAACTGATCATGCCTCTTTGGACAATAGCTTTCCACCATTTCTTATCACCACTGGGTATTTCAGAGTGAAATAATGCCAAACCAGTCCATACTTCTCCAATTCCTCTCAGCCCTTCGTGAGCCTATGGCAGAACAGCTTCCAGAGACGAACTGATGGCTCTTAGGAGGAGGCAATAATGTTATATTGCTAAACAAGTTCTTTAGACTTCCTTTGGCAGTACAAGGTCCACATGACTCCTAAATATAATGCAGCAAGTGAACTAGACTCTTTCATCTGCTAGGGCAATCTAAAAGACATTAGATATTTTTTGTGATTCCTAGTAATGCTATCTTTTATAGCTTTTAATGTCAAATAGGCTGCAATGACAGAGAAATGCGAGGAAGTAAGCCTTTACTTATCACCTGCAAATAGAAAAATATACCTATCGTAGTTAATGAATTTGTTGAACCTCTGAAACTTTATTGTCCCAAAACCACATCAATGTAATTTAAAATCTGTATTTATTTCTTGGTCCTTATGAGACTGCCTTGTTTTATGATTTTGAAGGCAGTAACACAGAGGTCACTGAGAAACTTGAAGAGCTGTTAATGGTCTGGATCAAACAGATTGGACAAGTTTTAGCGGAAAGTGAACAAATGAGAAAAGAAGCTGATGACATCGGTCCATCTGCAGAGCTGGAACACTGGAAGTCAAGAATGGCATCATTTGACAGGTTAAATCCCTGCGTCATGTCTCACAATCTAAAGAAAGCTTTTTTTTTTTTTTTAATAAATGCAAACTTTCATTTTAAACGGAGATTCAAATCTGTTTCTCTCTTCAAAGCCTTTTAGAAGAGATAAAGAGTCCAAGAGTAAAGAAAGTTCTAAGTATTCTTCAGGCAGCGAGATCAAAGACATTAAAGCAGTGGAAAGAGCTGGTAATTACTCTTTTTTAATAAAAATTGTTCTAAATGAATGAAATACAGTACTATATTTGTCACACACATGGAAGTGAACACAATGCTAAAATCAATTGGCGTGTTTGTGCTGTTTACATACTGTGATTTATTCTCCCTTTATTGAAGCATATCACACCAATGATCTTGATTTGAAGTTAAACACATGACTAGGAAGAAAGAATCAGTGTCTCTATAACTTATCTCTTTGTTAAACATAGTGGGTGAAATGGTTGTGTAAAAGTAAAGCAATGCATCAATAAAACATTATTCTGTCTTTCCAGCTGTACCCTATAGAGGCCAACTGTACAGATGTCTGAAAGCTTATCATATTGCTTGTGGAATTATTGACAACTGGCTTGTAATATAACAGCTACTTCAGACACATAGATATCTGTAATCTAACTCTGCAGTGAAAATTGTAGGCAGGCTGAAAAAAATAAGCTGTCAGCCGTGTACAGGCCATCTGACCCTCAAAAATACCAGAACATAGATCCTCTAGCACTTACAAAGATATTCTACCCTTTTGAAAATAAACTAGGAAAAGTGTCATCTTTGAACTTTGAACATAGGTTTTTGGCTTTGTGCTTAATGTATTTACAGGCTTTTATAATGAGTGAGATTTGGCTGATACTATCTGTACAGAGTCAGTACAAGATAGGGATGATGAACTAGATTCCTTTCTTCATATGGAATTGCTTGCTAAATACATGATAGTTTCACTTTTCATAGATAAAAAGATGTACGGGCAACACTAGGGAACTGATTTGCCCTGATGAATATTTAAGAAATGACATCTGAGATGGGAACACTGTGATATATTTCAGGGATCTTATCCAAGCACTATAGAACTGGTAATTAAGAAAAGTCGTACATATATGGTCATGTAACAAGAACTGTAGCAGGAACCATTCTACAATCATAAGTCAGGTTAGCAAAACCGTGCTACAGTGCTTCTATCAGGAAGGGAAAATTTTGGGGGGCTGAGTGAGGTCTTCCTCTAAATCACAAACAAACCTGCTGATTGCCGGGAAGATCTTAACAAGTTTTGCACATGAGAGCAGTTGTCTTTTGTAAAGAAGAAATAGCTTATTTGAGAAAACTTCTATGAGGAAAATGTTTTCTAGAGCAAATCATAGTCTTGTGTTAGTATGCGTTGCAGAAGTGCAGGAAACCTGTTGAATAAATGTTAACGTTATTAATTCTATTATGCTTTTTTCCCCTTCAGGATGGTAATATAACAACTGCTGCCAATGAAGCTAAAGACAATGTAAGATATTTATATACATTGGAAAAGTTCTTTGGTCCACTTGGCAAAGCTTCACCTGTAAGTAATATTTTTAAAAAAAGCACTTAATATGAAATTCAGAAAAGAAAAAATGGAAAAAGGCTTTTGCTGCCGAGAAGAAAGATATTTCTCCTTTTAGTATTTAACTTTAATGCTTAATGATTAATGAATAGTTTAAACACTATGGCGCTAGTGAATTGAGCATGCAAATTTTAAATATGCCAGAAATGATATTACTTTTTGTGTAGGAGGCAGCTGTCTTTCCAGATGATAATTGAAGGGCATGGGAAGAATATGCAAAAGGTATTTTCCTAACCCCCTGCCAAACTGGATGACAGCCTGAATTGTCTTTTTGAGGTTTACATGTGGTACCTCTTCCTGAGGATGTGCTTCAGTTAGCAGTTACTCGTGATTATTTTAATGCAAGCTTCATAAAATTATTTTAAGTGTTCAGAGTCCACATCTAGTTGAGATGAATTTGGGGAGCTTACCCTTCTTTTATAGATGCAACAAGTAGCAGGTAGCACCTACTTGTTTTAGTCCTGGTTCAAGTTTTAATATTTATTTTCATAACCATTTGGGTCATGGATTTCATTTCTAAAGTGAGAGCATGAATTTTGAAGATGGGAGACTAGCAAAGCTGTCCGAGCTTATGTGGTTTGGAGGCTTTTTACATAATCCAGCTCCTTACTCATTTTCTGAATATTTGGTCAAAGTTCAACTCTGAATTCAGTGTGCTGTTGTCTGTTGCTTTTCTTCTGTAAATATTCACCATTCTGCTATATTGAGCTTGACTTTTAGATAACATACATTTTTACTCGGTTCTAGGGCAGGCACTATCTCCTGTTCTGGGTTCTCAGTACATCTGGCTTGCATGCATTTTTCTGGCATCTTCCTCTGGGGTGCAGAACTCTACGTTCCTAATGTCCTCAGTAGGATAAAGATCGTTGTTGTCTTTCCTCCCACTTCCACGTTTCTCCTCCATACAGCTCCAGGGAAAGGAGAAAAAATCAACTCGCCTCTTCTTGTCCTTCCTCCAATGGGCCTCCTTTTTTGTAGCAGTTTATTATTTCTTTTCCTTAGATAGCATATTTCTTCACATAGCAGAATACAGCACCTACGCATACTGGAGGCAGTGGCCAAAAGGGAGTCCAGCCTCTACTTTTCCCCTGGAAAATCCCCATCTGGAAGAAGACCTATTCATTCATTGGTTGCCCATTCACCAGTTTTTCTATTGGACATAGTGTCCTCACAGGTAAATTGCATGGTCCAATTCATAGTGAGATGTCTACAAGAACAGGGTGTTACAACCAAAAAATGTTTATCCATTGACAAATATATTTCCAGAGCTGTCACATTCGACATTGCATTAGTTTTCAGGAAATTTGAATTGTGAACTTTCTTATGTTTTGTGTTGTAGGTAACAATGATGGAGCACATACCCAGCTTAATGAATACTGCCTGTATGATTTACTGTACGTCACCATACTATAACACGTCACAGTGTATGACATCTCTTCTTCTTAAAATCACTAATCAGCTGATTAAAACATGCAAGGCATATTTAAGTGAAGGTGTTTCAAAAATCTGGGACCTGGACAGGTGATGGATTTTTACAATTTCAGCTTCTTTTGTTAACGCTAGAAATAAAATCATAGGTTAGTCATTAAAGCAGCTATGAAGCTAAATTTAAGTAGCCCCTGATCCTATCAGGCACAAGTTCCCATTTTAATTTGAAGCTTTGGCTACTCATGGTATTTTATGTAAAATTAAGCATTCTGCAGAGCTAGACTTGCTATGTATTATGACAAAAATGGTTATTGAAATGCAAGTATATCAGGATACAACACTGATGTTTTGTCCCAGTGGCTTTTTTGGACCGAAACACACTTGGGCAGTTAGAACTGTTAGCTGAGGTGCTTCAGAAAGAAACCCTGAAGATGGACTGGAGAAACTCTGAGAGTTTTGCTGTCTTGCATATTTTGCAATGGATAGTAAAGTTATTTTGAGGAAGGTGATAGATAATATGCCAGGAGCATAATTACAATTTGATTGAAGTCTTTTTTTGACGGAGGTATGTGGGTTGGTGGAATGGGGCTCAGACTTATTTTCTATGAGTGTTCTGTGGAGAATGCTATATAGGTACAGAGTGTAATTCTGTTCTGGGTTCTGCTGTGAAAGTTTTGGTTTGAGTATAGTAAAACCTAAACCTAACAAACTTAAAAACATATATATATATCTCTATATAACAAACTTAAAATAAAAACTTTCAATGCAGTTCTCATATTTGGAATGCTTTTGATGTGAGTATAATTCCATGTTCTTATTTTGCAAAGTTACCTATGTGACTGAACTGTTCTATTTTTATTTATATTTTTCTACAGTTTGCTAGGATGATTTTTTCATCTTCTGTGCTTTTCTCCTCAGGCAAGAACTGCTAAAGAGGATACAACAATGCATTTTCCTCAATGAACAGTATCAAGCATCCTTTCAGAGAATCAGGAAGAATCTAAAAGAAAATCTAACTGACAGGCAATTTGATTTCAGGTAAATAATTCATACTAGTATTGAATAGTGTTCATTTATGCAATTTATAAATAAGATATCATCATATCTACTGGCTACTGGAAAAGTTAAATACTCAATTAAAATGTAACATTTATGATAATCAGAACATGCTCTTGCAGAGATTTTTTTGTTCAGGAAGAAACCAGGGACAGGTTTTTGCCAGAATGCGTTATTTCAGGGGAATTTATGCATTGTTACATATATTTTTATGTACAGTATGCAATCTCAACAAATCCAAGAGTCACCAATATAAGTGGAAAAACTCCAGTTGAATTTAGTTTGAACTGAGTTTTTAATCACAATGCCAATGAGAGTTTCACCTATTCTGACATTTAAAGCATGGAGCACATCTTAGCATTGTGCATTGTCATTTTATCTCCTTTCAGATGTCTTGTTTAAAAGAATAACTCCTATGAAGCACAGTAAAGGCCTGAAAATGAATTAAACGTTACTTGCATTGTATCCACTATTTTAAAGGGGTTTTTACTTGATTAGTAATTGTTACAGCTTTTTTTTTTTTTAATAATATGAAACTTGGTAGCTATTTTGGTAGAATATATGTGGGTCATAGAAAAAAATTGTTACAAATATTTCTATTTGTATAACAATACCCCTGTTGCTTTATCATTAGTGAAAACTATATATTTGGAAAATTTGATACATTCTGTAAACGTTTGGAGAAGATTTCAGAGATGAGCAGTATTATGGAAAGCCTTTTAGAGTTCCAGCATATAAAAATAGAAGGTATTGAAGAGATCAGTGCTCATTACCAGAGCATTGCTGCAAACACCAAATCAAAAAAGTATGATGTTCTGGATCACAGAAAACAAGAGGTACATACATTCAGCACTTGTCTGTAGATCAGTCCCTTCTTAATCCTATGCTTTTCACTGGCAATGTGAAAAAAGAATTAAATTTAATAACAATGCATGTAGTATTCTGTTATAATTCTATTATAATTCTAATACATTAATATATTAATAATACATTAATATCTAACAACTTGAAATTATTTAGCTAAATTTGTTTTTTATTTCATTTTAATTTAGTATTGTTAATTTTTGATAAACCAGGTTTTGTATGATAGGTAATGGTACAAACAATTTTTCTTAACTTGTTTGTTTTGAAATGCATAAATTTTGAACTGCAGATAGAGAACTAATTCAGAGAGGTTGAGGCATTAAATTCGGTTGATCTACTTTCAAGATGCAGTGTTTCTCAATGTAGTAGTATAAGCACCTAGATGACCATTTTAGAGGCAGAAATGAATGATGCCAGACTAAAGTGACTTCTCAGGTGCTTCAGGCTCGTGATTAAGTACATCCTGTATGTATCCTGGAATTGAGCTGCTTTTTTGATCTGTAGCCTGCTTGCTTTACTGGATTGATATCCTAACAATAAAAGTGTAAGGAATGTTGTTTTCTCCTGCCTTTCTGAACTGTAGCTTGCAACTGTCAGGAATTTCTCTTTAATCGTTTAGGCCCAGAGCACCTTTGGCTTTCTTCTAAATGGATATTGGTTTACATATCTGTAATACTTGCTGTGTCGTTCTTTTCTGAAAGAGAATATTTTATTGTTAGCTGGAATTTGGAAATGTTTAAAAGTTGCTTGGCTTTTCTACATGTAATGGTTGAAGCAAAATATTTTTATGGACTGTCTACCCAAAGTTTGTAGAGTGAGCAAGGAAGTTTGCATTTAACTCCTGTTGTAGGTCCTCAGCTTTTTGGATGTTTAAGAAAAATTATTATAGATAAATAGGCAAAGTAATTTGTGTTAGGAGTTGCCAAATCTGCTAACCCAACAGAGATGAGGCTGCACCAGTTCCATGTCCACAAGTCCAGTCAGTAGCAAGCATGTATTCCCAATAGGCACATGTGCATATGTACACACTATACATATATGCATATACAGCTATACAGATTAACACAGAAAACAAAGCACTCATGCAGTCACAAACAGCACCAATGGCCTCATCC